ACATCCCTTGTCCCAAGCCCCTCTCCAGCTTTCCTGCAGCCCCTTCAGGCCCTGGAGCTGCTCTCAGGTACCTCAGAGCCAGGGGGATGTGGACACAGGAGGGGGCTTTGCTGCAGGCATGGGAACACCCTGGGGGGCACCGACCTTGAGGGGACAGCAGAGGCCCCCACAGAGGTGCTGCTTCCCCAGAGAGGACCCGCAGTGACCCCCGCTTTGTGCTGGCCTTGGGCCCCGCCGCCCTCCCAAAGGATACTGGATGCACTCGCTGGAGCTCCCAGCCACCAAGAGCTGCCGGTCCCAGGCCACCACCACCGCGCGCTGCCGGCTCCGGGGCCGCATGCACCTGATGGGGACCCAGGGCTCAGCCCCCAGACCTGCGGGGGGGGGGCACCGGAGGCTCCCATGTGCCCTGAGGTGGGCACGGGGCTCAGGGCACCCCCAGGGGGGCTGGGCCCGGGGGCAGCGCTCACCAAACCATCTGCTTGGGAGGGGAGCGGATGCTGCAGTGGAACTCGCAGAGCTTCTCCTAGGACCAGAGAACACGGAGTCAAGAGGGGGAGAAGGGGGGCACAGAGGCAGAGGAGGTGGGGAAGGGGGGTATTGAACACCAAGCACACAGCCCGGTGTCCTGCACTGAGGGATTCCCATCCAGGATGGAATGAGTGAGGGGATTCCTGCCCAAACCACCCCAGGGAGCCCTGCCCCAGTGCCCAGCGCCTGGGCCACAGCCTGAGCTGCCCAAGTGACCCCCGAGGAACGGGAACTGGGGGGCATTGGAATGATGATGGTTATGTCTGAAGGGAGGGCACTGCAGCTCTGAACGGCCTCTTCTGGGGTGGGTCACATCCCCCAGCCCCCGGGGCACACCGAAGTCCTGCTGCTCTCTAACCCATCGCTCAGCTTGTGAGGTGATGTCCCACTTGGGTGACAGGGGAAGGACATGCCCACCTCCCGCGAGGCCAGCCCCATCCAGATGTGTGCCCACCTCCCGCGAGGCCAGCCCCATCCAGATGTGTGCCCACCTCCAGCGAGGCCAGCCCCATCCAGATGTGCGCTCACCTCAGTGATACCAGCCCCATCCAGATGTGTGCTCACCTCAGTGATACCAGCCCCATCCAGATGTGTGCTCACCTCAGTGATACCAGCCCCATCCAGATGTGTGCCCACCTCCAGCGAGGCCAGCCCCATCCAGATGTGCGCTCACCTCAGTGATACCAGCCCCATCCAGATGTGTGCTCACCTCAGTGATACCAGCCCCATCCAGATGTGTGCTCACCTCAGTGATACCAGCCCCGTCCAGATGTGCGCTCACCTCAGTGATACCAGCCCCATCCAGATGTGCCCACCTCAAACAGGGTCAGCCCCCCCCAGATGTGCACTCACCTTGAGCGACGCCAGCCCCATCCAGATGTAGCCGGTGTCGGTGAGGAGCGCCAGGCACCGGTGGTTGAAGGACACGGCCATCTGCAGGTAGGCACCGGCCGAGGGGCTCATCCCAGGGGGGGTCTGCAAGGCGAGGGGGGGTTAACCCGGGGGCACGCTCTGGGGTGCGGGGTGCTGCGCACCGATCGCTGGGGCTCCCTTCCCACCCTGCTCGAGCCACGGAGCCCATGCTCACCACCACGGAGCAGGAGGTGTTGTCCAGGAGGTAGAGGTCCTGCCCCAGCGCCAGCAGCACGATGGTGACCCTGTCCTGGGCCAGCACCGCCCAGCAGGATGGAGGCTTCTGCAGCCCTGCAGGCACCAGCGTCAGGGCCACGGCCGCCGGGCCCGGCCGGGGCTGGGCAGCAGGGCAGGGACGCACCGGGCACCTCGGGCATCCGGCGCAGCTTCAGGTCCTCGATGTTGGTGGCCAGGGAGAAGCGGTGGCTGCCGGTCAGGATGGCCACGCCGGTGCCGAACTCGCTGTGGAACACCTTGGCCTCCAGCACGTGGTTCTGCAGCACCTCCTGCGCCGGGGCGGACACACGGGGCTCAGCACCGCGGTGCTGGGCACGGAACAGCCCGGAGGAGCAGGCGCAGCGCTGCGGGGCTGCGTCTTAACAGTGACAAGGGCTGGACGCAGCTCATCCCTCGTGCAGGGACGGCCCCAGGCTCCCCCCCGTGTGCTCCCTCCTGTGCCCCCCGCTCACGTTGCCCATGCTGAAGTGGCGCTTGAACTCGCAGAAGAGGTTGTAGATGAGCACGGTGCCGTCCTCCTGGATGCACAGCAGGTCCTCGCCGGCCGTCCAGCCCAGCTGCACCAGCCGCCCGCTCTTCCACTGCGGGGGCCACGGGGGAGCCCAGCACAGACACACATGTGTGAAGCCGAGAGCCAGGCCTGGGTGCCCACGGGTCCGATGCCCCTCGGCTCCGCATCCCCCCGTCCCTCCGTGCCATCATTGCCGTGTCCAGCCCAGCCCTGGCCAATGGCACAGGGAGGATGCTCCAATGCCAGGGTTCATATTCCCCCCCCGGGAGCCTCCTTCTCCCCCCAGCTCCCTCCTTGCACCACGTCCGAGGGCTTCTCCGCAGCTTCCAGGGGCGCAGGAGCCGCATGGAGCCACTGCTCGGGGAGCATCGGCAGCTTCCCCATGGGCACAGGGAGGGGTGACCCCTGTGGCACCCAGCCCTAACGCAGCCCCGGGCCCTCCGGTGCCTGCACTGAGCCCCCCTGGGCAGGGGCTGCCCCATGCTCCCAGCTCACCGGGATGCTGGCCAGGAGCAGCCCCGAGGCCGAGAAGATCTCCAGCAGCGGGCGGGCGCCGGGGGCCTTCTCCTTCCGAGCGTGGTTCTTGAGCAGAGCTGGGGGGGACGGGGACAGGAGAGGCCCCATGAGCCTGTCCTGACCCCAGGGCAGAGCCAGCCCCGGGTCCCAGTGTGGGGTCCTTGGGGGCAGGACCCACCTATGGGCCCTCCATACGGGGCAGCCGCCACCATGCAGTCCCGCAGGTCCTCCTTCAGGTTCCACTCCATGGTGTAGAGCTCGAACTTCCTGCGGGAGTCAGAGGCAGGGATGGAGGAACGGATGCATGGAGGGATGGAGGGATGGATGGAGGGAGGGATGGAAGGATGGAGGAAGGAGGGAGGGAGGGAGGGATGGAGGGACGGATGGAGGGATGGATGGAGAGATGCATGCATGGATGGATGGAGGGATGGACAGATGCATGCATGGATGGATGGAGGGATGGATGCCATGGAGGGAGGGACGGATGGATGGATAGATGCATGGATGGATGGATGGAGGGATGGAGGTATGGATGGATGGACAGATGCATGCATGGATGGATGGAGGGATGGATGCCATGGAGGGAGGGAGGGATGGATGGATAGATGCATGGATGGAGGCACACAGAGGGATGGGGAGTAGGGATGGAGCCCACCCCCCCCGGCCCTGGGATCCCCCCCCCCGGCACCTCCAAGGCTGGGATCAGCCCTAAGCCCCCCCCCGGGCAGCCCCGGGACCTCCCAGGCCGGCTCCAACCCCCCTGAGACACCCCCCCCCCCCCAGCTCTCCCATGCCAGCTCCGGGGCAGCCCCAGCATCACCAAGGCCCTTGGGACCCCCCCAGCATCCCCTGCCCGGCCCCAGGGACATAGAGGGGCTGCCCTGCCGGTACCGGGCCCAGGCCCGGGCCGCCGCCGCTCACCGGTAGAAGGTGTCCTCGCCCAGCGGGTTCCAGTTGGCCGTGTAGCAGTCCATGGCGCCGGGCCGGGACGGGCCGGGACGGGACGGGACGGAACGGAAGCTAGCGGCGGCGAGGCCCCCACCGGCACTTCCGCCCGCCCCGCCGTGACGCCGACACGGGCGCCGCCATCTTGAGTGAGGGCACAGGGAGCGGGGGAACTGGCGCCTCCGCCATCTTTACTGAGGGCACTGCGGGCCTCGCCGCCGCCATCTTTAGTGAGGGCACGGCCGCCAGCCTGCCTGTGGGCCTCGGGGTGTTCCCTGGCACCCCCCTGCCCCCCCCCCGGCACCCCAAGGGTCCCCGGTCCCCAGCACGGCCCTGGGGGGGCTCTCGGGGGTGCTGGCAGCCGCGCGCACGCACACAAGGAAGCGAGGGGACGGCGCCTGCGCGCAGTGCGGGCGGGCATGGGCGGGCCTGCGCATGCGTGAGCACGCACACACGTGTAAACATACACACGTGTAAACATACACACGTGTGCACCTACGGATACACACGTGTACACATACACACATACAGGTACACATACACACACACATGTACACACACACACATGTACACACACACGTACACACAGAGGTACACACACGTGTACACACACACACACACATGTACACACACACACATGTACACACCCACGCCCCACACAGCTGTCCCATGGGGTCCATCTCTCTTTATTTCTCACCACTGGCAAATAAGGAACGGCCCCAACAGCCCAGCCAGGGGCAGCCCCATCCCAGCCCCGACCCCGGTAGGTGCCATGGCTGAGCCTCGCTCCATGGTGGTGCAATGGTGCTGTGTGTGCTGGGGATGCTGTGGTGGTGCTGGGGGTGCTGCAATGGTGCTGGGGGTGCTGGGGATGCTGTGGTGGTGCCAGGGGTGCTGCAATGGTGCTGTGTGTGCTGGGGATGCTGTGGTGGTGCTGGGGGTGCTGCAATGGTGCTGGGGGTGCTGGGGATGCTGGGGTGGTGCCGGGGGTGCTGCAATGGTGCTGGGGGTGCTGGGGATGCTGTGGTGGTGCCAGGGGTGCTGCAATGGTGCTGTGTGTGCTGCAGATGCTGTGGCGGTGCCAGGGGTGCTGCAGTGGTGGGGAATGCTGCAGTTGTGCCTAGCGTGTATGGGATGCTGCAATGGAGCCTAGCATGCTGGGTGTGCTGCAATGGTACCCAGTGTGTTAGGGGATGCTGTGATGGAGCCTTGCGTGCTGGGGATGCTGCAGTTGTGCTTAGGGTGCCAGGGATTTTGCAGTGGAGCTTTGCATGCTGGGGATGCTGCAGTGGTGCTGGGGATGTTGCAGTGGTGCCCTGCATGCTGGGGATGCTGTGGTTATGAGGGATGCTGCAGCTGTGCCAGGGATGCTGCAGCGGTGCCAAGGATACTGCAGCTGTGCCAGGGATGCTGCAGTGGTGCCAGGGATGTTGCAGCTGTGCCAGGGGTGCTGCAGCAGTGCCAGGGATGCTGCAGCTGTGCCAGGGATGCTGCAGCGGTGCCAGGGATACTGCAGCGGTGCCAAGGATACTGCAGCTGTGCCAGGGATGCTGCAGCGGTGCCAGGGATGTTGCAGCTGTGCCAGGGATGCTGCAGCTGTGCCAGGGATGCTGCAGCGGTGCCAAGGATACTGCAGCTGTGCCAGGGATGCTGCAGCTGTGCCAGGGATGCTGCAGTGGTGCCAGGGATGCTGCAGCGGTGCCAAGGATGCTGCAGCGGTGACAGGGATGCTGCAGCGGTGCCAGGGATGCTGCAGCGGTGCCAGGGATGCTGCAGCTGTGACAGGGATACTACAGCTGTGACAGGGATGCTGCAGCAGTGACAGGGATACTACAGCCGTGCCTCGCACGCCAGGCCCAGCACCCGAGGTGCCGTGGCATCACCTCCCTCGGGGCTGCGGTGCCGCGGTTCCGGTGCCGTTCCCTAGCGCGGCGGGGCCGCGGCGGGGCCGGGCAGGTCGCAGCGGTAGCGGAAGACCTGGAAGCAGAGGAGGGAGGCGAGCAGCGAGGGGCTGGTGGTGCCCACCCTGCGGAAGCCCTGGCTCTCGTAGAGCCGCTGCGCCGGCACCTGCACCATGGAGGTGGAGAGGACGACGGCGCCGAAGCCGCGGGCGCGGGCGAAGCGCAGCACCTCCCGGCACAGCGCCTTGGCGATGCCGCAGCCCCGGTGCTCTCTGCTGACCGAGAGCCGCTTCAGCTCCAGCGCCACGGCCCGCTCGGCCGGGTCCTGCGGCGGCTCCACCGCCACCATGCCCACCACGGCGCCGCCGGCCTCGGCCACCCAGAAGCAGGCGTGCGGGGAGCGCAGGTAGGAGCCGCGCACGTCGGCCAGGTCGGTGCCGAGCGCCTGCCGCACGTAGGTGGTGGAGTAGGAGCGCACCAGGAGCCAGATGGCCACGAGCGCCAGCGCCACGGCCCCCAGCCCCAGCAGCCAGAAGCCGCCGGCCGCTCGCACCAGCACGAAGAGGACGAGGAGCTGGAGCTGCACCCGGGCCGAGCGCAGGACGTGGCGGTACCCGGCCGGGCTGTGCTCCAGCATCCCGCGGGCAAACAGCGTCCGCACGGCGTCAAAGTCCTTGTCCTGGTACTGCCGGATGCGGTAGGACGCCATGGGAACCTGCGGCACGGCACCGGCGGTCAGAGGTGGGGAGGGTGGGGGGTCACACATGACACAGAGACCCCAGCACCGGGACAGCGCAGCCAGGGAATGGGCAGGAGCTGAGCGTCCCCCATAGCTCCTGCAGGTGCTCAGCATCACCCCGCTGGCAGCATCACCCCCTTATAGAGCCCCGGAAGCCTGGTATGGGTTGAAGGGAGCTTAAAGCTCCTCCAGCTCCAACCCCTGCCACGGGCAGGGACCCCTTCCACCGGAGCAGCTTGCTCCAAGCCCCTGTGTCCAACCTGCCCTTGAGCACTGCCAGGGATGGGGCAGCCACAGCTTCTCCAATCAACCCCTTCCAATGTCCCCCCACCTTCCTTGTATCCCCTCCAACTCTCCCCTCGGGCAGGTTCAAGCCTTTCCCCTTGGCCTGTCCCTCCATCCCTTGTCCCAAGCCCCTCTCCAGGTCCCCTGCAGCCCCTTCAGGCACTGGAGCCGCTCTCAGGTCTCCCCATAGCGCAGCAGAGGGGCAGGATCCCCTCCCTGCGCTGCTGCTCACGCTCTGGGGGTGCACCCAGCACGGGAGGGGGGGATCTGGACCGGGTCATGGGGAGCTGCTCCTCACCCAGCACCCCCAACTCCCTAAGAGCTCCATCCCAGGCTTCCATCCCGCCCCCACGGCGCGGTCCCTGCCCCACTCCTCCCCCCCCCCCTTTGGGTCCCACCAACCCCCCCAACCGTCTCCCTTCTCATCCCGGTTTTCCCCTCCCCGGGGCTGCAGCAGCCGTGCCTGGGGGCCCGGTCCCACTGCGGGTCCCGGGGACGGAGGGGTTAAAGGGCTTGGACACAGGGGGTCCCCTCTCCCCCTGGTGGAGCCTCCGGGTCCATCCCACCCGCCCCAGGCTGCAGGGATGAGCTGGGGATGGGATCGCGAGGAAGAGGGAGCAGGGACCGGGGCGGAGGGGGGGAGGAAAGGGAAGAGCAGGAGGATTTGGGGGTGTTCCCCCCCCTCAATGCCCCCGATCACCCCCAGGACCCCACGACCGCGCACAGGACCTTTGTGTGTGCCCATCCTTCACCCCGAACTGCCGCGGCAGGGACAGAGCAAAGGGAAATGGAGGGGAAACAGGAACGGACCCCCCCCCCCCCCCCCCCCCGGGGGTGCCCAGGGCACGCTATGGGCTTGTTCCCCTGTTCGGAGGGGGGAAAAGGGGCTCCCCCCCCCCCCCCCCCCGGAAACGGGGTCCAGAGATGCCATAATCAGCCCCGTACGTCTGCACTGACCCCATTATGGGGGGGTTAATGGCAACCATAGCACTGCCCCCGCCTTCAACCCCCCCATGGTAGCCCCCATCCCTCCCACTTTCCGAAGCAGAGCCGGCAGCTTTGCACCCCTTTGTTTAAGCTGGGGGTCCCCATTTAAGCCCATCACAACAACGGGAGGGGGGGGGGGCTTTACCCCCCGCCCTTATTCTCCTACCCCAGCCCCATTCATCCCCTCCTTCTGCACCCTTTGGGGGGGACCCGCTGGGCCCCCCCCCCCTTCGAGGCTCGGCTCTTACCGGTGACGACGGCTCCGGAGATGCAGCGAGCGCAGGCGCCGGAGGGATGTGGCTTCTGGGGTCACGCTGAGCGCGGGGGGGGCATTAAGGGGGGTAATGGGGGGGTACCCATTGATGCGGGGATGGGGGGGTCCGGGTTGTGGAGGGGGACGGGCTTCGCCCGTCCCCCTCCACAACCCGGACCCCCCCATCCCCGCCAATGCTTCAGCATCATCCCCCCCTTCTGAATGGTCCCATTGTGGGGGGGGTTCCCAATGCCCGTTTTAGTTGTGGACCCCCCCTTGAAGAGCCCCTCTATGGGGTGGGGGGACAAAGGTCTTCGGACTTTGCCCTGCTCTTTCACGGTCACTGAGTTGCCTTTGGTACAGCAGGAAAAGGATGGGGCTTAAGGAGGTGCGAGGGGACGGGGGGGGCACAAGGAGGTCCAAGGAGGGGACAAGGGGGTCTGGGGGACCGTGGTCCCCTTCCCAGTGACACCCATTGGCACAGGGGGTCTGGGGGGTACACAGTGGGGGGGTCATCCCCATGCGTTATGGTAATGTCCAATGGGTCCAGGTTGGTGCCCCCCCAGTGCTGGACCATTCTCATGGGTGTCCCTGTAGTGCTGGTGCCATCATCCCAGTGAGGATCCCATCCTGAGACCCCATCCCAATGTGGGAAGAACGATCCAGCCCGGTGCTGTGGATGGTCCTTTATTGTTAACACCCCCCCCCCTTCCAGCAGCAGCCCCTGACCCACAGGCAGTGCACAGGGGCCAAGGCGGGGGGCACACGTGGGGAACCCCCCCCAAAGGCTTTGGGGCCAGGCTCCCCATGGGAATGCACTCCTGGGAGCCTGAACTCCCTTGGGAAAGCAGGGACAGCGATGGGGTGGGGATGGCAGCACCCAGACCCCCCCCCATTGCGCATCCCTGACATGCACCATGGCAATGAATGAACTGGGGGAGACCCAGCACCCTGCTGAGCACAGCACTGAGGGGCACGTGTGGTGGGGCCAGGATGCATCCCCTGCCCTCGTCACTGCCCCCCTGTGCTGGGTACCCCGAATCCTGTGCTCAGCTCTGGGCCCCTCGCTACGAGACAGACATTGAGGGGCTGGAGAGGGGCTGGTGCAGGGCCTGGAGCACAGGGGTGATGGGGAAGGGCTGAGGGACCTGGGGGGGTTCAGTGTGGAGAAGAGAAGGCTCAGGGGGGACCTGATGGCTCCCTACAAGTGCCTGAGAGGAGGATGGAGCCAGGAGGGGCTGGGCTCTGCTCCCAAGGAACAAGGGATGGGACAAGAGGAACCGGCCTCAAGCTGCCCCAGGGCAGGTTTAGATGGAGCTGAGGAACAATTCCTGCCCCAGAGGGTGCTCAGGCATTGGAACAGGCTGCCCAGGGCAGGGCTGCAGGCACCGGCCCTCCAAGTGTTCACACCCCGTGGAGACGAGGCCTCAGTGCCATGGGGCAGAGGTGGCCTTGGCGGTCCTTGGGTGGCCCGGCTGATCCGGAAGCTCTTTTCCACCCTGGATGATCGCACGGTTCCATCACTCCATGGCTGCCTGCTCCCGGGGCGGCGCCGGTGCCGACTCGTCGCTGCCCAGCTCGTAGCGGTAGGTGGTGATGGTGCAGTTGGCCAGGTGCCCGTAGACGGTTGGCAGCACGTACTGGCGGTGCCGGCGGAACCCCAGGCGCTCGTAGAGCGCTCGCGCCTCGTGCTGCACCATCAGCGTGTTGAGCACCACGGCCCGGCAGCCGCGCTGCCGCGCGAACGCCAGCGCCGCCCTGCCCAGCGCCGCGCCGATGCCCTGCCCGCGGTACCCGCGCCGCACCGACATCCGCTTCAGCACCAGCTCCCCGTCGCCGCCATCACCGCCTCCGTCCGCCGCCGCCGGCCGCACGCCCACCGTGCCCACCACCCGCTCGTCCGCCTCGGCCACCCAGAAGCGGGCGCCGGCACCGGGGCCGTAGGCAGCGGCGATGTCGCGCAGGTCGGCGTCGAGGCACCGTTGGATGTAGGCGTCCCAAGCGCAGCCCAGGATGTGCCGCCCCAGCGCCAGCACCAGCGCCAGCGCCAGCAGCGGCAGCAGCAGCGAGCGCGCGCTCGCCAGCAGCAGGCAGAAGGTGCAGGCCAGCAGCAGCAGCGCCCAGGGCCGCCGCAGCACGTGCAGGCACAGCGCCGGCGCATGCTCGCTCATCCCGGCCGCGAACACCTCCCGCACGGCGGCGTAGTCGCTGTCCCGGTACGGGCGGATGCGGAAGGGGACCATGGTTGGTGCTGCCAGGGGGGGGGATGTGGGTCAGATACCAGGGGGTATGGGCAGGGTGAGGGTGGGTGCCCAGCCCCATGGGCATGGCCCCATTGCACCGCACAGGCCTGTTCTGCCCTGCAAGGGACCATTCCCCACCCCACAAGCAGCAACCCCGCAGCCCTCCCCTTAAATCCACCCTGCTTGCGCCATGGGGACCCCCTTAGAAACCTATGGGGACCCCCCCCAGCACCCACCAGACCACCCAGTGCCCCCATAGCCCCCAGCACCCCTGGACCCCTCCAATGCTCCCATGGTCCCAGCACCACTGGACAGCCCCTTCCCAATGCCCTCATGTCCCCACTAATGCCCCATGGTCCCAGACACTCCCCAGTGTCCCCATGGTCCCAGCATCCCATGACCTCACCTCAGTGACCCCAGTATCCCCACTGCCCTAGATCCCTCCCCATTGCTCCCATGGTCCCACACATACCTGAAGCCCCCTCCCCCGTGTCCTATAGTCCCACCCCATGGGACAATATAGTCCCTATTGGCCCACCCCAATGCCCCCACGGCCACAGCATCCCCCAGGTCTTAGACCCCTTCCCAGTGTCCCCATGGCCCCAGCATCACCCAGTGCCCCCATGCTCCTAGACCCCCAGCCCAGTGCCCCAATGGTCTCAGCCCTCCTGGACCCCCCCAATGCCCCCATGATCCTAGACACCAGCCCCCCGGGTGACCCCACGATCCTAGCCCCCCATGGCCCCAGTACCCCCCAGTACCCCCATAGTCCCAGCACCCCATGGCCCCCCCCCAGTGTCCCCAGCATCCCCACGGCCCTAGGCCCACCTCCAGCGCCCCCACGGCCCCAGCTCCCCATGGCCCCCCCATCATCCCCATGGTCCTAAACCCCCCCCATTGCCCCCATGGTCGCACACCCCCCCCGCCCGCACCGGTACCGCCTCCAGCTCCCGCCTGACCCCGACAGGACTCGTAGCCCATTGGCCACCGCCCCTGCCGGGACACGCCCCTCCCGCTCCCATCAGCCAATAGGTGTTCAGCGTAGGGGAGACGTCGTGGGCGGGACAGCTATCCGAGTGGGCGGGGTGAGAAAGGGGAGGGCCCAAGGAGGTGGAGACATCATTGACCTTCAACGTAGGGGCGTGGTCAGAGGAGGGGCGTGGCCTCCATGGGAGGGGCGGGGCTTGCGGAGGTGGGAGGAGCGCTGCCCGCCCGTTCGCTCTGACTCTGCATGTCCCGTTCCCGTTCCTGTTCCCGTTCCCGCTCCAATTCCCGTTCCCGTTCCCGCTCCATTTCCCGTTCCCGCTCCCGCTCCATTTCCCGCTTCATTTTCAGTTCCCGTTCCCGCTCCATTCCCCCTTTCATTTTCCGTTCCCATTCCCGTTCCCGCTCCATTCCCGTTCCCGCTCCATTCCCCCTTTCATTTTCCGTTCCCATTCCCGTTCCCGCTCCATTTCCCCTTTCATTTTCCGTTCCCATTCCCGTTCCCGCTCCATTTCGCGTTCCCATTCCCGCTCCCATTCCCGTTCCCGTTCGCGCTCCATTCCCGTTCCCGCTCCATTTCCGGCTTCATTTTCCGTTCCCGTTCCCGCTCCCATTCCCGTTCCCGCTCCGTTCCCATTCCCGTTCCCGCTCCACTTCCCATTCCCGTTCCCGCTCCATTTCCCATTCCCGTTCCCGCTCCCGTTCTCATTTCCGCTCCCGTTCCCGTTCCCATTCGCGCTCCATTCCCGTTCCCCCTCCATTTCCCGCTTCATTTTCCGTTCCCGTTCCCGCTCCCGCTCCCGTTCCCGTTCCCGCTCCGCACAGACCCGCTGCAGCCGGCCCCGGGGCAGCGCACCCATCTTTACTGGACAGCGCCCGCGCTGCGGTGACCCCGGCAGCGCCCGCTCCGGCCGCGGCTCCCCCCGGCCCCCGGTTGCCCCTCGCCGAGCCCGCGGCCCCGGGGCTGCGGCCGCCCGGTCACGGTGCGCGGCGCTGGGCGCGCAGGCGGCGGAGGCGCTGTCGCTGCAGGCGCAGCGGCCGGTCCGGGGGCAGGCGGCTCCCCCGCGGGCGCGGGGCCCGGTGCAGGCGGAAGCTGCAGGGGGTGGGCACGTTCTCGAAGGGCACCCGGCACGGCTGCGTGGCCGCCTCGTAGCCCTCGGCCCGCGCCGTCACCTCGTACTCGCCCGGGTTCAGCAGCCGCCAGTAGTCCCCGTGGAAGGCTGCGGCGGGGGGATGCGCCTGCAGGGCCTCATCCTGCTCCCCCTTCCCGTGCCCTGTCCCGTCCTCGTGCCCAGCCCCATCCCGCTTCCATCTCCATCCCGTTCGCATCCTTGTTCCTGTTCCCAGCCCACCCCCATTCCATTCCCACCTCCATTTCCAGTCCCAATCCCGTTCCTGTCCCAACCCCCGTTTCCAGACTAATCCTATTCCCATCCCCAATCCTGTTCCCATCCCCATCCTCATTCCCAACCTCATCCCATTCCCATCCACAATCATGTTCCCATCCCCATCCTCATTCCCAACCTCATCCTATTCCCATCCCCTTCCCAGTTCCATTCCCAGACCTATTCCTGTCCCATTCCCATCCCCAGCCTCATCCTATTTCCATCCTCAATCTTATTCCCATCCCCAATCCCATTCCCTTCCCCATCCCCAATCCTATTCCTATCCCCATCCCCATTCCCAGTTTAGGCCTATTTCCATCCTCATCCCCAATCCCATCCCCAAATCCACTCCCACCCCCATCCCCATCCCACCGTACCCGTCCGGATGTCGTGGTTGATGCCATCCACAGAGATGATGGCGTTGGCGATTCCCTCGTCCGTGTCTCCATCCCGGACTACCCCCTTAATCCCACGGTGAACCTGAGGACCACGGGCCCGAGCCAGTGGCACACACGTGTGCACACACGAATACACGTGCGCACACACACGAATACACGTGCGCACACACACGAATACACGTGCGCACACACACACGAATACACGTGCGCACACACGAATACACGTGTGCACACACACGAATACACGTGCGCACACACACACGAATACACGTGCGCACACACACACGAATACACGTGCGCACAAACACATGAATACACGTGCGCACACACACGAGTACACGTGCGCACACACACGAATACACGTGCGCACACACATGAATACACGTGCGCACACACACGAATACACGTGCGCACACACACACGAATACACGTGCGCACACACACGAATACACGTGCGCACACACACGAATACACGTGCGCACACACACACGAATACACGTGCGCACACACACGAATACACGTGCGCACACACACGAATACACGTGTGCACACACGAATACAGGTGCGCACTCACGAATACACGTGTGCACACACACGAATACACGTGCGCACACACACACGAATACACGTGCGCACACACACACGAATACACGTGCGCACACACACACGAATACACGTGCGCACAAACACACGAATACACGTGCGCACACATGAATACACGTGCGCACACACACACGAATACACGTGTGCACACATGAATACACGTGCGCACACACACACGAATACACGTGCGCACACACACACGAATACACGTGCGCACAAACACACGAATACACGTGCGCACACACACGAGTACACGTGCGCACACACACGAATACACGTGCGCACACACACGAATACACGTGCGCGCACACACACGAATACACGTGCGCACACACACGAATACACGTGCGCACACACGCACGAATACACGTGCGCACACACACGAATACACGTGCGCACACACACGAATACACGTGTGCACACACGAATACAGGTGCGCACACACGAATACACGTGTGCACACACACGAATACACGTGCGCACACACACACGAATACACGTGCGCACACACACACGAATACACGTGCGCACACACACGAATACACGTGCGCACACACATGAATGCATGTGCACACACACACGAATACACGTGCGCACACACACGAATACACGTGCGCACACACACGAATACACGTGTGCACACACGAATACAGGTGCGCACTCACGAATACACGTGTGCACACACACGAATACACGTGCGCACACACACACGAATACACGTGCGCACACACACACGAATACACGTGCGCACACACACACGAATACACGTGCGCACACACACACGAATACACGTGCGCACACACACACGAATACACGTGCGCACACACACGAATACACGTGCGCACACACACACGAGTACACGTGCGCACACACACGAATACACGTGCGCACACACACGAGTACACGTGCGCACACACACACGAATACACGTGCGCACACACACGAATACACGTGCGCACACACACGAATACACGTGCGCACACACACACGAATACACGTGCGCACACACACGAATACACGTGCGCACACACACGAATACACGTGTGCACACACGAATACAGGTGCGCACACACGAATACACGTGTGCACACACACGAATACACGTGCGCACACACACACGAATACACGTGCGCACACACACACGAATACACGTGCGCACACACACGAATACACGTGCGCACACACACGAATACATGTGCACACACACATGAATACACGTGCACACACACATGCACACACGCACCCCGGTGCAGGTCACACCTCACACGCTGCAGGGTGCATGGGGGACGATGGAGCCTTGGGGTGTTTGGGGACCCCGAGCCGTGTCCCGCTCAGCCCCCGCAGTGTCCCCCCCATGTCCCGGACCCCCGGGTGCCCCCATCGCTGACCTGCTCCATGTAGAGCAGGAGGGACTCCCGGTTGTTCTCCCACTCTGCCGGCAGCTCGGAGGCGTGCGGGAACTTGTCGCAGGAGAGCTCCACGGTGATCTCGAAGCAGTTGGTGTGCAGGTAGCTGAAGTCGTTCATGCCTGGGCAGGACACAAGGGGGGGGTCAGGGGGTCCCCATCCCTGTCGCCCCCCCACCCCGTCCGCTCCGCACTCACTGCCGGGCACCGTGTGCCAGTTGGCGCCGTTGATGATGTTGCCGTAGCGGGTGAAGTCGTCGTAGTGGCAGAGGCGCCGCTCCTCGCTGGCCATGGCCAGGTTGGACGTGGCGTACACGGTGGCCAGCCAGCGGAACACGCCGTCGTCGGCCGTCGGGGTCAGCTCCTGCGCCTTCCAGTAGGTGCGGGTCATGTCGAAGGGGTAGGTGACCACCAGCTCCCCGCCGTGCAGGTTGGCGCTCAGCACGAACGGGTACCGCTGCATCCAGTCGATCACCGCCCGCGTCTCCGGCGCCACCTGCGGGCACCGCGGAGGGTCCTGGGGGTGAATTCCCAATCCCAGCCACCCCCGCCGCACCTCCAGCCCTTGGCAGCCTGGGCATCCCAGCCCGGAGCCCGTACACAGCCACCTGCCCCGGCCTGGCTGTCCTCATCCTGCACCGGCCTGGCTGTCCTCATCCTGCACCGGCCTGGCTGTCCTCATCCTGCACCGGCCTGGCTGTCCTTATCCTGCACCGGCCTGGCTGTCCTTATCCTGCACCGGCCTGGCTGTCCTTATCCTGCACCGGCCTGGCTGTCCTCATCCCATCCCATCTCATCCCATCCTCATCCTGCAGCAGCCTGGGTGTCCTCATCCCATCCCATCCTCATCCTGCACCGGCCTGGGTGTCCTCATCCCATCCCATCCTCATCCTGCAGCAGCCTGGGTGTCCTCATCCCATCCCATCCCATCCTCATCCTGCAGCAGCCTGGCTGTCCTCATCCCATCCCATCCTCATCCTACACCGGCCTGGCTGTCCTCATCCCATCCCATCCTCATCCTGCAGCAGCCTGGCTGTCCTCATCTCATCCCATCCTCATCCAGCACCAGCCTGGGTGTCCTCATCCCATCCCATCCTCATCCTGCACCAGCCTGGCTGTCCTCATCCCATCCCATCCTCATCCTGCACCAGCCTGGGTGTCCTCATCCCATCCCATCCTCATCCTGCAGCAGCCTGGGTGTCCTCATCCCATCCCATCCTCATCCTGTACCAGCCTGGGTGTCCTCATCCCATCCCATCCTCATCCTGTACCAGCCTGGGT